TCTGATATCGGCCTCTTGTCCGTTGGGCCACCAACACAGATCGCGTCAGCAGTAGATCCCTAGTTTGTTCTGCAACGAACTCTACTAGAATTGGTCGCGCAGGCGGGCCATTTCTTTTAAGATTCTGGGCCTTATACGTCCTCACCCGATGGACCCTTTTAATACCTCCAGGATGAAAGATTCCTGCTAGACGCAAGATGTCTAACACCCTTCTACGGTCCAACTGTCTCCGGGTCTTGGCCTCCCTTATATTAGGCTCCTCCCGGTTAAGTATCAGGAGCCTTCACCAAGATGACTTATTTATCGTATGTTCCCGAATCTTTATCCTGCTTCTTTGTTCGAGCTACTATCATTCTTACTCCGCTGACGAGTTCTCGAATCGGAGTAGAGGAAAACGCCACCATGAAATTGCTGGGACGTCCCGATAACACTTCTCCGCCGGAGTTCTGGCAACGTCTGCGTATGACCGAAGCGCTGCGGCCGAGGCCGTGGCCGCCCTGAATGTTCAGGGATATTCTCTATGTATGGTGTTTCTACCTTACGCGACTAACGTTGGAACGCAAGCCATGCCGCTTCCTTACAGCGTATACGTACCCACTCGGCCCACTTACTCTGGCAATACAATGAATACACTTCTGCACGGATATCGGAGCACTTGCATGGGCCCATCTCTTGCACACATCTCTCTCAGTTCCCTTAACCACGCCTTTACCGCATTCTTTATTGAGACATGGATGGGATACTTGTTGCATAATTCAACCAAAAAAGACTACAAATAGAAATTTGTAATACTCCTAAGAACGTAAACTTTGGGTATAATACACAGCAAAGGCAAAACGGAAGAAACGATGAGAAACTAGTTAATTCTGAGAATATAAACTCCGGATAACTAAATATAACTCTGATGTACTAAAACTGCGTAAAACGTGTGAAATAACTGACGCTATTTCACTGCAACAACGATAAAGTTAGCCATAACACGAAGCACTTCAAAATTTCAAACCGCGCGGCACTCACGTCAAGGTTACGTCAGGTCAAGTCAAGTCAGGTCACAGGACTATAGGCTCCGGCCAGTAGACGCCCAGGTTATTGCTTTTGTGAGCTGGTGATTCCTACTGCGGTGCGACTGCCAGGTAGTTCCACAGTTGTGCTGGGTGTTGTACCTACAAGGGAAGAGATGAAGAGCAGGAACGCCCTCTGGGTAACAGCAGTCTCAATCATTCGACAGGCATCGCACCTCAGCGGACTGCTACTCTTGCCATGAGAGTTTCCCGGGGGTTGATGACAATAAAAAAAGAATTTTTGTGTTAATTGTGCGTGAGGTGCGTGATGCAAAGGAGTGACGTTAGAAATAGGCAATGGCTACAAAAGGAAGATGTGGGTGGTGATTGAGACCTGTACTAGTCACACTCTCGAAACACCTCGTCCCAGCAGTTGTCTAGTCTCCACTTGAATTTCAGAAAACAAGATACTGCTACTACTGTAGGTGGAAGTTTGTTCCATGCATTTACCACGCGGTGGAAGAGAAACTGTGCCCTGGCACTTCCGTTGGCCCGTGGTTTCATCAGCTTTAGTTCCTGCCCTCTGAGGGTTGGATTAAGGTTTCGTGTAAACAAGGATCTATCTGTTACTGACAGTCCTTTAAGCTGTTTGAACGTCTCAAACAAGTCCCCCCTCAGGCGACGGCGATGCAATGAGAATAAGTTGAGGGCCGCCAGCCTTTCTTTGTGTGACTTTCCCTGCAGTCCACTGATCATCCGGGTGAACCTTCTTTGTACTGCCTCAAGTAGTTGTTCATCCCTTACTAAGGGAGGGGCCCACGCCTGGACACAGTACTCCAGATGTGGCCGCACAAACGCCTTCTACAATGGCAAGATTACCGAAGCCTCCCTCGATATTACCGTTCTGCAGAGTTGAAATAGGGCTCTATTGGCCTTCGCTGCGGCTGCCGCGCATTGCATTGAGGGCCTAAAGGAGGAATGCATCTGAACCCCTAGATCCTTGACTACATCTGCAGGTTCTATGGTGTTCATCGACCCAGCGCCTAGTTGTTGCACCTCCGCAGTCCCTCTGTTTAGCAGCAGGTGCCTGCATTTGCGGCGTTGAGAGTTAGTTCCCATGAGGCCTCCCAGTCATCAGTTGCGTTGAGTGCATCCTGTAAATCCCCCCACATGAGGGANCGCTACTACTTTTAGGTCATCTGCGAAAAGGAACCCAGGGCACCGGAAGACCTCAGTGACGTCATTTACATACAGCACAAATAGTATAGAACCAAGGACTGAGCCTTGAGGTACCCCACTACAGACTGCTGCCGCCCCCGGGTTTTCCTTTTCGACCCTCATACGGAACGTCATTCCGTGCAGGTACGCTTTGATCCGCTGCACTAACTGCTGGTCTACGCGAAGGGCTTTCCGTTTGCGCAGAAGGAATTCGGGTTGGCCGAGTCGAAGGCTTTCCTGAAAGCAACGTAGTAAACTTCGAATCGATACCCTGCGTCCAACCTGTCTGTTACCTCGTCCAGTAATGATAGTAGGTCATTGAGACACGACTTACTGTTGACAAAGCCGTGTTGTTGGCCAGCTATGAGGTGTTGGTCGTCCAAGTAACCCACTAACTTCTCCTTGAGGAGCCGCTCGAAGGTTTTCAGGACAATCGAAAGCTGGCATACAGGACGATAGTTTGATGCAGCCGCCCTTGATCTCTTTTGGATTGACACCACCTCTGAAGTGATCCAGTTGTCCGGCAGCGTTGCAGAGCCAAGGTATCGGTTGTAAAGCTAAGTAAGCGCACCTGTAATAATGTCAACAATGGGCTGCAGTATTGCTGGATGCAGCCCATCCGGGCCCGCGGCCTTGTTCTGCTCTAGTTGTTTCAGTGTTGCTTCTACCTCCTTTGCCTCTAATACAAACGGGGCCATGCACTGTTCGGGGAGTCTACGCAGAAGGTCAGGCAACGGCCTACCCAGGTCCGCTAAGTGGACCTTCTCGAAGAAGCTCTTTAGAACTTCAGCCTTCTCCTTGCTGGAGACTGCGCTGACACCGCCTGCATTTACTAAATTACCAACCTCAACCCTAGAGTGAGCCTTAGACTGCACACAGTTGTATTAGGATTTTGGTCCCTGTTTGGCATTGCGAGCAATCCTACTCTCGTATTCCCTTTGGCAGTGTCTCTGAGTCCTAACTGCCCTTTCTCTCGCCGCCCCATAACTCAGGTGCTGCCGATGGCCATCCGTGTTCCTGAGNCAGTTCCAAGCCCACCGCTTTATGGCTTGTGCCCTGACTACCTTTTTTGCCCACCAAGGCGGTAGGCCTCCTCTTCTGACCCTTCTCAGGGGAGTGAAAACGTCCGTGAGCCGGGTGATGCTGTCTTTGAATAACCGCTACTCCTGCTCCACGATGTGAAGACCATCTGATGTCCACTGGATTGCCTCTGCTGCTTGCCTGAGCGCCAGGACATCCAGCTTTGTATAGCCCCTGCTGAGCTTGTGTGGTACTGGGGGAGGGTTGCTTCTGATGTGAAACCTAAGTACTCCATGGTAACTTCGCCCCAGGGGAGCAGAAAACTCGAGCTGTTCCACATCCTACGGCATCTTGGACAGAACTAGGTCCAACATGCTAGGCCTTTGCCCCTCCCGCCATCTAGTGAGCTGACTGCCGTGCTGCGCCACGAGTAGCACTGACATCAAGTCCACTAGTTTTCTACCGAAAGCAGAGCGAGGGTCCCACAGGCTTTCTCAGTCTACCTCCGGAGAGTTGAAGTCACACATGATGACCAACCACTCTGCATGGTTGCTCACCCTGGTCAGATAGTCGCACAATTGGCCATCCTCCTCCTCATCTGAGAGTGGTGCTCTGTAGGCACCTACTACCGTCACAATGCAGTTCGGGGATTGTATGGTGCATGATCACGCCTGGATATTCGGCGTGCACATATGATCGCTCTAGGCCTGATCTAGTGTCGGAAGCGAGGAGCAATATGCCACCTTCATCCCTCCCTTCCCTGTCCGACTTGTACGCGCAGTACCCGGTGAGTTGCAGGCTCTCCGTTGTGATGGCCTCGTGTAACCGTGTCTCGGCAATCACAATACAGTCTGATCCTATGAATACAGCCCTTAATTCTCTCCATTTGTTGCCTAGGCTGCAGGCGTTCGTGTAGAATGCCGATAAACCTCCAGCCAAAGCCACCCTTCCAGCCTTGGTGTCACTAGAGTCTAGTGTGCATTCGGGCAAACTGTCCGAGGGCCCTCTTCGTTTTTTGTCGCTGGCATACTCTTGGCCTTCAGTCGCTGAGGCGCTGCAGAGGGAATGACGTCAACACTGGCCCTTTGAGCCACCGTAGCCCACAATTCCTTACCAGTCTCCAAATGAGTAGGCAAAACATCGTCCGGCCCGTCTTTCCTATTAGCTGTGACCATTGTCGTCCTTTCTACTGGCGTGGGCTCAGGGCCTTCTTTGTTACGCTTGTGTCCTGAGGGAGATAGCGTTGGTGTAGTTGGTGATGCTTGTCGGCGAAAGCCTGCATACATAGATAGGTTATCCGGTTCGACGCCTATCTTCCCATTCTTCAAACTTTTATCTACCCGCCGCCGCCAGGAATGCATCCGGGAACCTCTGGTTGCCACATTCTACGTGAACTGGCCTTGGGAAACGCACTGTGCTTACCTGTGCGTTAGACCATTTCCCAAGCCTGAAAATCCTTTTGATTAGTGCGTGGGCCGGGATTCCCACCTGTCTAAGTAGGGAGGAGACACGGTGTCTCAGATCCTTTTGTCTCAGTCTGACACTGCTGCAGAGTGGCTCTTCCATTCCTTTGATGGCAACATTTTCCTGCCTGCCTTTTGCGATGTCCATTTCGTGGCACAGATTTTTAATCTGGGAAGCCATGCTGGTCACCTCCTTTCTGATCTCGGACAAACTAGTTGTTCTAGCACTAATGTCTGATTGGAGTCGCCGGAGTTCTGATCTCATGTTTACCTCAAGCGCTTCCAAACTTGCCCTAACTGCCTATAATTCGAGGATTTTTGTCGGTTGGCATTTCCTTAGCTCTATGACTGTCTCCTCATCAGTTATGCTGTCATCATCGGTTTGCTGTTGCGCTAAAGTGCGGCTATGTGTAATTGGTTGTGAACAGTCACAACAAACCCATTTAAGCTCCGCGTTATCTGGGTACAGTCTGTAAGCATGGGGGGTGAGCTTACTGTAAGCCCGATGAAACCATCGGTCGCAGGTGTCGCAGGAGATACCACTTTTTACAGCTTTGGAACACTTCCTACACCTCCCGCTGGGACTCGAGAGTGATTCTTTAGAGTTATGTCTAGCCATTCACACCACTTTGTGGGAGTGCGGTGCAAAAAGGTTGGCTGGAGCAGAGTGAAAAGTGACCTAATGAGTAATAACCTTGTAGTGACCATGATTGTACGAAGAAAAGGAGCAGTCCACGAGGACGCTTTCCGTTCATATTTTCTTCACAATCAACTCTGGCTCCAACTGTAATATTTCTTTGTTTTACTTCTGCTTGTTCTATTGAGCACGGTATTCTGCTCAGGTGTATATATAAGCTGGGTCCTGTTCAAACCCACGCTACACGTGTGACACGTTTTCGCTTTGCTACTGCATTTGTTGCTTGCATTGTTTAGCGTCACCTCGGCACGTTTCGGTACTGTCTAGTACCATGATTCACCAATAAACGTTTACAACTCCCACGAGTTTTTCTGTCTACCTCGAGCAACGAAACTCTACGAGGTCGCGAGCACTTTGAGACTCGTAAGAAGACTTACCGGCAGGCCGTTACACCGGTTAGCTTCAAACTCAAGCGAATGGAGTAGAAAAGCCCGGTGGGTAGCTGGCCAGCAGGACGCAAACAGAACGTGTGGAAACGGCTTACCTTTAATAGATCGTCACAAACTGCTAAATAACTCCCTGGGCTCACCGTTAATCCACCTCAATCCTGTAGGGAGCGTGAATGTACGTTTATCGTCTATACTCCTTTCGGGAAGACTCCCAATTTATTCTGAATTTGAAATAGTTGCCTGCTACGGTTGACATGAGCACAGCGATTCTCTCAGTGAAGTTCACTGCTGATCAGGATGATCCACCAAAAGCGAATTGACCTTCCTCGCTCCGAAATTTGAACCGCGCGGTTAAGATCTGTCGGTCAGGTCAGGTCAGGTCAGGCCAGGTAGCACAGGACGATAAAAGCTTTCGCCAACCGAGCGTCCAGATTCTTGCTCAAGCCGGAATCACGTTCTTCCGGGGCTTCGACGTTTTGTCGACCGTTTAACCGCAGCCAATTTCTTCGTTTGGAACAGCCTCCCTTATCGGGTCCGTATCTGAAATGGGAGGTTATTCGAGAATAAGCAGTATGGAACAGCTACACTCAATAGTAGGCACTCTACCAAATCTCGGAATAGAGGCTGATCCAGACCCCATCTAATTGCCTTTTGAACTCCTCGACTGTCCTACAGTCTAGTAGTGAAGATTGTAGTTGGTTTCACTCATCTATCCCTCTACTTGTGAAGAAGTTGTGTCTCAGGTTGAGTCGGCTTCTCGGCTTCATTAGCTTCAGATGATGCCCCCTTGTTGACTCGAGCGGTGCTCGGGTGAACAGGCTTTCGGCTTCTAGCCCAGTCAGCCCCTTCATTATTCTGAAGGTTTCAATGATGTCGTATCTTACGCTTCTCTTCTCCATAAAGAAAAGCTATAGGGAGTCCAACCTCTTCCTATATGACTTATCCCACACCCCCGCGATCATCCTAGTAGCTAACCGTTGGACCCTCTCAATGACAATGATATCCTTCTTCAAGTAAGGCGCCCAAGCTTGCATGCAGTATTCTAACTACGGTGTAACTATGGCCTTATATAGAGGTCAGGTCAGTAAATGTGGTGCACAGTGAATGAAAAATGGAGTTGAGGGAGTTAAAGAAATCGAAGTGTAG